AACGGCTAAATAACCGTTTGAGGTGTGCCCCCCACCTTTTTTTTTTAACTTTTTGCAGAATTGCAGGATTTTCAAATCAACAAAAAAAAAAATAAACCGGTACCGGAACCGGACCGGTACCGCCGGTATTGGTACCAAAAAATAGGTACCGGAACAGGTACCGAAAGTGGCGGTACCGGTACCGGTTCCCGGAACCGGTGACACGGCTACCTTGCCGGTGACGGTGGCGGGTACCGGCGGTATCGTTGCCGGTGACGGTACCGTACCGGTACCGTGTCCACCCCTACTCAGGCTAATGTAAACAAATATTATATTCCTAGATTTATATTTAAAGATGTTTATCAAATAGTGTTATTCTGCTGATGAGACTAACATCTTGAAATAAATATTTATCTAAATGTCCATAGTCGAGTATTAACGAGAGTGGGATATCGTAAATGCATGTGAGACTAGTGTGTGTTGGATGTTTGACTTAGTCTCATAGTCAATGACAGTGTGTTCGCATCCGCAAATGGGAAGATATTATCTGGAGATAATAGGATGCCGGACTGACCCATCCTAAAGATGTTGCTTGAACTTTTAGTTCATGCTCTAAGCATCTTTAGCGCGACCACGGGTGTAACTATCCTTCGACTTGAAGTATTACGTTTTCTGCATATGTGAACCCGCATGCTTTGATGCATTGTCCTAAGCCATATGAAATAAGGATGGTATACAGGCTTTGTTTTTGGTATGCCGCAGCGCGTATTCAGAAACGTAGATTACGTACATAGGATTTGTCACTACTCTTTTTAAAGAGATTAATGTCTTATAGGGCCCACTGATAAGTTATGACTGAGGAAATTGCATGGCCAGGCTGAGATGTTTTTATGACGTCTGTTCCTATCAGTCAAACTTGATAAATCAGTGAATGACTTAATGGATACAAGCTGGATTTTATAAATCCCTTGCATTAAGTCTAGACATTGAGACAAAGGGATACAGTTACACGGAGTCTGAGTCGTGGAAAGGTTTTGACGGTGCAAACGTCTTAACTTATAATCTGGGGGGCAATAATGTGTTGCTAGATACCGCTTATTGCTTATAGTATTGGTGCATAGCCAATACTGTGGCCAGCTTTATAAGTGCCTATACGGGTCACACACTTTGGACAATTTAAGGAGTAGGATTAAACAATGGGATAATATGTAATTTGTATATTCATAAAATAGTAAAATAAAATATTTTGGAATATAATATTATATATATGATATTCGGTTATATATATATTATATATATTTGTACCGATTAATATATATATATATTATATGTTGAATATTTTATTTTGGTTAGTCATTTTAATTATGAAAATAATTATTTTGACATAAACTATTTTAAGTATATATTTTACTTGTTTAAAAATGATATTGGTATTTTTATTTGATTTAAAATTAATTTTATATTAATTTTTGGTGTCAAATAAAATACACTTTGAACATTTAAGTGGAGAAGAATTTTGAAAATCCATCTCACTTTCAAAGATAAAAAATATACGGCCATCATAAGGATTTAAAGAATCAAAATGAGTCTTTGGTTAATAGTTGATTATTTTAACTTTTAGCTTAATGACAAAATATGATTAATCAATTTGTAATTTTTTGTTTTCTTTTAATTGATTACACGACACATTAAGATAAAAGGGGTGTGAAGATTATTATCATTTTGATTATGGGGTTTTCAGCCATAATTTTAGTGAGAGAAAAATATTCTTTTGTGTTCCATTTATATCATTTTGTGTATAGAAAATATCTATAATATTTTCTAAATTTTATTAGAAATATTTTCTATAGAAATATACAAGATTATTATTATCCCTATTTTATACTACTATAATCTTTACTAGCATAAAGATTGTGGTAGACTCCGGCGTTATTCGTGTGTCAAAGTTGGAGACCGGACGCTTGAACGGTTACGTTTGCACTTTCAACGTTCTTCCTACGACTTCTTCATTTTTACCGCTTACGGAGAAAGGTATAAATTTCTTACTCACTATAAGTTTTAGTACGTGATTCTGGGTAAGAAAATCCTGTTAGGATGTTAAAATTTTTATATTCCGCTGCCTATCCTTGCATGGTTTCCTTTCATAAGAACATACTAACACGTGAAATACAAAGACACCACAAAGCATAGAAAAAAACCATCACACTACCACACGAAATGCCATTCACTAGCACACTTCCAACAAAAGAATCGGGACAAAACATATGGCACATTACATATACATTTTATCAATCCCCTAAATAGGAGATAAAACTTAAACTCCCCTAAATAGGAGTTATAAACTAAATTATCTCCACCCAAACTAATCACCACGTGCCACTCCACTTGAGATCTACAATAGCATACCGAATTAAATAAATCTATTTAATAGAGTTGATCGATTAACCTCCGTCTTCTTCGACTCATGACGCTCGCCGACACCGCTGCACACATGAGGAACTCGCCGCCATTCAGAAGCAAGTCCCAACCAAAGTTGTTATTGTTAGGCCCTTAATATTTAGCATTTGTGTTGGCATTATTTTTGACAACACACAATCACTAGTTTAGTGTAGAAGTGTCCTCATAATAGAAGAATTGTGTTGTTAGCATTATTGGTCATTCTATCTGGACAAGGACGCTACGCTGGAAGACATCTGCTCAAGCTAAACAAAGGATTCCTGGTCTGTCAAGTAACTGGTTTAATCAATGACTCCTCCCTGGATTAAACGTAGTAGTATGCGCAAGAGTTCTAGGGACAAGAGGTTAGGGTTTCATCCCATGCTAATCCAGAAGTATAAATACGAGATTGCAGCTTGGCAGAGGAAGGCGAGAATTTACACATTCGGCTAAAAGAGAGTACTGACAGATTATTGATATATCAAAGAGAAGAGCATATCATATATATTCACGTGAGGCTACAGTGAGAAGATCAGCCATGGATCTTCTCTGAAGATTTGTTCAGCTTGGACATCGTGTGGAGCTGAGCAAAGGTTAAGAACACATCCTTATTGCAGAGCAACGAGAAGGTGTAATAGACCTAGTTTGACACAAACAGAGTTTGGTGTCTGATCACGTAAGTAGACAACTCTGTTCAATAGAAGGGTCTGTTGAGTTTGATTGTGTAATTCTTATGATGATCTAGTGGAAAGGCTATTACACGGATGTGGGCCTCGCAGACGTAGGAGAGTTGGCTCCGAACTGCGTAAACAAATTTCTGTGTCTTTGCCTATTTTTGTTTTTGTTTTGTTTGGTGTTAGAAAAGGTGTTGTAGCATTCTGTGAAACTTAGTTGTTGCGCTACAGCACAATTTCTAACCACCTTCTGTTGTGATAAGTGTGTGTATCTTTGGTTTATATACTGTGCTGTGGGTGTGGAAATTTCATTTGGTATCAGAGCCTGCATAGCTTAATTTACTAGCTATCGATCATATCATGGGAGACATGGAAGAAGGAGCGAATGTTCAGAGACCACCTTTACTGCGTGGACATAACTACAATTTCTGGAAGGGCAGGATGAGGGCCTTTCTCAAATCCCTTGGGGGTGGAGTCTGGAGAAGTGTAGAAACTGGGTGGACTGAACCGCGCAAATACTCTGATGATCTGACAACGTCAAGAATCAAACCATTCGAAGAATATAGCAGAACTGAAGTAACCGCTGCTGAGTTTAATGACAAAGCCTTAAATGCAATCTTTAGGGCAGCGGACTCTACCCAATACAAGCTCATCTCAAACTGTGACAATGCCAAGGAAGCCTGGGATATTCTTGAAGTCACGCATGAGGGAGATGAGGAAGTGAAGACTGCAAAATATCAGATTTTGATGACTCAATATGAAAATCTGCGCATGGACGAGAAGGAAAAGATCACTAAATTTCATGGAAGAGTTAGAGATATTGCAAACCAGGCTGCACGACTGAATGAACCCATTCCAGAAAACAAGCTGGTTCTCAAGGTGCTGAGATCACTTCCAAAAGAATATGAGATGGATGTCAAGGCCATTCGACGTTCCCACAACATCAAAAACATGACTCTTGATGCACTTATGGGAATACT